GACCTGGTAGTGGAGAAACGGTCCCTTAAGGCCAATAATCTTAGGCGGCGATCTTCAGGGTCTGTTGTTCTACGGCGGCGTCCAGTGCCCCTTGCTCTTTGCGTACGGCCTTCTCGAAGCCATGCCTGACAACACCTAACCACAGTGTCTACACTTCTTTGCACTCTAAGTGCAATTGCCCGAAAAGAAAGTCCAGCTTCCCGAAGTCCCACTCACTAAGTTGACGAAATCGTACAGGTCTCCGTACTCTAGGCATCGTAACCGATCGTAAAGGATGTCAAGAACCAAAATCCGCCAACGTTGATTCTTTACTGCGGCTGAAATATTCATTTTTAGAGCGTTAGTGAATTAAAAAAAAGCAGTATAAAAACCGGAAAGTCCAACTGATAAGGCTGAAAATTTTTTCACTTGTTATTTACAGTAAGATAAATACATTCACCAAGTTTTATTAAAATAAAACCATTTAAACTGGGTGTTCGGATTTATATGTCACTTAGTATATGATTAAAATTTTTGGAAAACATGGAAAAGAGGTATTGGTACTTTTCAAGGATTGTTACGCATACAAAAATGGCATCAATCAGATTGACTTACTTCACACGCAAATCTGTCATCATTCATAATAACACCTTTCACCATACACTTTGTCTTAGTTTTTTGTGCATTACGCTACTGACTTTTTGATTACCTCCACTCCCTAGGTCCTGAGAGTGCTAAAATAATTCAATTCAGGAATTTTTTAATTTTATTTGGTTGCCCCTTTTCCCCAGTCATCGCCATTTCCACTCCACATCATGTTATTTATATATGTAATAAAAAAAATAGGTGCATACCTTTTGGAGGATGGCATATCTATTAACGAGTACACTAAAACTACGATTCGTAGGTACGTACTTCTACATGTATACAGGGTGAAAACGTTATGATAGTCATGATTTAAATGGGTGATAGAGGGGGTTGAGAAAAGCAAAAAAGTTTCATATAACATGGGGGTCAAAACGGCATTTCTTTAGAGAAAAGCGACTTTAAAAAAATAAAATCTGGCAACGCCGCAATGCCAGACACAAATTACGAGGCAACGTAGTGTAAATAAAGGTGGAGTTTGTTATTTTTGGTTCTTAGGTATTATTTCATTATTTGATAATGTACTCGTAAAATGCAAACAATTACAAAAAACGGTTTTACCGCTAACTGTCTCAGCGCTTCACCTGGTGTGTGAAAGTTTATTGAACGTATTAAAAAATCCACTCATAAATAGGGAACACAATCTTAATACATACATTTTTTTCTTTTTAAAACCCACACTGCATTTTTTTGTATTTAAAGAAGGTGTTCAAAATGTCGTCCTCCACTTTCCACACAAGCTTCAATACGACGAACCCAGTTTCTTCTTACTCTATACTCTAGGCGCTGAAGAAAGAAACTAAACCCAAACAAATACACGCATATTGCTCGTGAGTGAGTGTTTAGGCGCAGGAGACATTACAGGACCGCATCAAGATATTATGGGTAGTCATCAAAAATTTCGTACAAGATAATTATTATCTTTTACAGTAAATTTCAGTTAGAGATTCACAAATGAGTTAACTACACTTTTTAGTTATTAGTAAGTAAGCTGCGCGCACTCATTCAGAAGAGGAACTTGAATCTTCTGAATCGTTTAAATGAGTTATTAGAGGTTCAATTTGGGTATCGATGACATTGTCCAAATCCCACATTTTGACCTCAACCTTCTCCCGAACGTGGCGGATACAGTTTTTCCATTCCTCTGCCGTAACTCTATTGACTGCGATGTGAAAGAGATTTTTAACATCAGAAAATTTATAAGTATTATTATTCGACGCCACGTATTGCTTTATGTTGGCCCAAATCAGCTCAATAGGGTTCAGCTCACAATGGTAGGGTGGCAGTCTCAAGACAGTTTTATTTTGTTTTTTGGCCATTTCGTCGATCATTTTAAAATCGTATTTGTATTTATGTCTATTGACTATACTTATCAATTCACCCTTGACCATTGTTTCATCAAAATCGATCTGTTTTGAGGCCAGCCATTGTTGTATGTTTGCTTTTTTAGTTGCCATTGTGGGAATTTTTTCTATTTTTCTAGAATGGTACGGGGCATTATCCAGTACAATAACAGCGTTATTCTCCAGCTTTAGTAACATTTTGGAGAACCAATTTTCAAAGGAATTGCCGTCCATCTCCTCATGATAGTCCCCTGTCTTTTTTGATTCAAAGGCCCACAGTGCTTCGGGAACAAAGCCGTCTTCACTACCTACATGACAAATGATCAGCCGTTTGCCTTTTCCTGGAAATAAATTATTCCTTACACTATGGATTGATTAAATTTGAAGGAATGAGGCAATTGAGTTCATTTAGCTGAATTTAAGAGTCACGGAATGCTGATCAAAAACTGAAAAACGTAGAAAATTGAAGTTTGCAACTTCTCAAATCCCATTCAAAGCAAATTGACTGCACCCAAAAATGATAATAAATTTCACAATAACGCTTAAAAGAGGGTCGAAGTTTTTTTCCTAATGACTACACTGCGAATGCACCATTTTTGGAGAATATCACACATTATCTGCTATCACAGCATATTACGTATATTTTCCAGAATTTATCAAAATTAAATTGCCGGATAGATGAAGGAGCTTACCTGCAGGATTTTTCAATCCAGCCAAAAGACCGTCTAGAAAAGCCTGCCTTGATGATGTTACTGATTTGTCGACCCAAACTTTCGCTTGAGTATGTCCAGCATTCTTTCTTCTCTTTTTTCATCGCGAAACTTCCGAATCTTCCTAAGGTATTCCCTTCTCCACACAACAATTTCTTCTTTCTCTATTAACATACTGTTTCTTCCCCGTTTCAAGAATCGAAAATTAAGTTCCTTCAAAAGTTTTCGGAATGTGGTTCTTTTAAATGATGGAAGATCCTCATCAGCATTAACTAATCTTAATATCTTATCTACTGTAGGTATCTCATTTTGGAAGAAAAAATTATGCACTTTCCTCCTGATGGCAGTTCTGTCAAAGTCATCTACTCCGTCCGTTATCCTTTTTCTTGCAGGATACGGTTTTGGCTCAGAAAGTGAGTGAGTGCTCCTATATTCCTTAATGATCCTATAAACACTGGACCGACATACTCCAGAAATATGTGCTACCTTACATATAACTTCGTCCACGACCAAATCGGGTTTTTCTTGAATTTGGTTTTTGTATATATTTAATATTATTTGTTTTTCATTTGCACTTAAATGTAGCTTCTTAGCCCTTTTTTGGGTGGGGTTGCGCTGATGTCAACCACTTCTCGTCGGCTGTATCTGTGTCAGACATCGTATCTTAGGCAATATATAAACAAAACGTTCCACTCGCGAAAAACGAGTATACGCTACTGAATGCGTAATGCGTATGCAATGCAATCCTGTGCGTGAATTAACTGTTAGATGCCTGTCGTGTCATCTACAATCACGTTTACAAGTCCAAACCTGTGCAGATTCGTAGAGCGCCGACGACTGCTAGTGACCTTGAATTTGTCTGTAGATCGATGTTACTCCAGTCAATTTAGGTTCAAAGTGGATGTTTTCTAAACCAATTTGTTGTTCCTACATCAAAAATATATCGATGATGTTTTGTACTGGGAGCTCATGAAAGATCAAGATAACTTATTTTAACAGTCATCCTTTTTCTAGTCTCAAGATGACACGAAAAAGGGTCTGTGGATTCACTAGAAATACACTGCCGAGGATGTTTAGACCTAAAGTGACTGGAGTATATCCGTGGATGCTTTCGAGGGATCTGTTCACGTGCTGATCACTGTTTACGTTTAGTGTCTTTCTTCAGCGCCCAGAGTTTAGGTCGTCGGAGTTGTCCATTTATTATTTCAGCAGCATTAAAAATTTTTTGGCGAAGTTGTGCTTCAGTTGTTATTGGACCAGCCCCATAAACCATCCCTTTAAGTTTTCTCAAATACCAGAAATATATCGGATTGGGGTCAGGAGATCTTCTGGCCCTTAGACGATAGAGGTTGTTGAAGATGATTATATCTGGTACAAATCTTAGAGGCTCTGATCTGTCTGCAGAACCTTTTTCGACATTTTTTTAAAGCTAGATTTAACATGTATTGACTTAAGGTCATCGCTTATTCGATTATATAGGCGTACAGAGTTGTTGATAAAAGATCTTGTAAATAGTGTTGTGCGATATACAGATATATCGATGCCGAACATGCTTGCTATGGGCGGAAGCTCTTGAGATACGCTTATCTCTGAGGTAGGAAAGGTTCGATGTTAACATACTCGTCCGTACCTTGTTTACGAGACATGTTTATCAAAGCAAGGCTTTGGTAAACATGTGATACATGTTCATACTTCCTTCAGTTTTCAATCAGCTTAGCACAAGTATTTCTTTTCTCAACATGTAAACAGTAGTTAGAAAAGAGCCAAGCATTACCGGATAGTTGATACGCACTTTTCGACAGATATATCAACAGAACCGATTGAAATGACATCCCAATGCAATATTTTCTCCACAATAAATATGGAAAAAACAAAGTTTGGGAATTCCTTAGTTCAAATATGTATCGACTTTGAAAAATCAAAACCTGTTTCCTTAAGTATCTATGACCTTCATTAGTATCCATTCAGAATAACTTTTACAAAAACTTCCAGAAAAGTTGTTTTTCACGTAGTTTAAAGCTTAACTATACACATTACTATACAAAGATTTGGTAAGGTATTTAATACCTCAATGGTTTGAAATGTATTACTGCTCCTGTTCTGTTGCTGATACCGACAGCATAAAGATGATTTGTGTGTGGCACACGTATAAACTTGTTAATAATAATCCACCATTTCGTCTAAATTAAAACAACCATTTTGTGTGTTTTCTTTTCTTCTGTGAGCACAAAGAGAAGGATAAATGTGATCCGACCGTTTCCCTTATATACAGTAAATCATAGAGAGTTGTTACATTTTATATTTAACAGTTGAATATTTATAGCGTAATCGTTTCTGGAGAACAAGCGAGAGCCAGATTGAGAAGCATCAACCCTGATAGGGCTGGAAGCAATGCTGACTTGTACGAGTAAGTATAATAAACCAGAAAACAAATTTCAGGCTGGCTTTTATTAGATACGGATTCTTTTAATGAGCTTTGACACTCAAAATTGAATGAACTAGATAATCTTATTTTTAAATCAAATAACACATATTCACTCTTGTTTTAATTAATCCGTTACTTAAGAATATACTGGTCAATACAGAATGACTCACAAGGTAATGGTAAGACATACTTCTATTGCAGAAAGTAGTGAAAGTGTTGATGATATAATTTCAAAATCAAAAAAGTCATATTCTCGGAGTAAATTGAAGTTGTAAAATAAAATGTTGTACCTGATGATTTAAAAAGTACATTTAAAATGTTGCCTATTGCAACACCCTGTATATACAGATCACATTGGTGGCGCTTTTCGCACTTAAGCTTGAAGTTTGTATACTTTTTCATCCCATCTCCAAAATTCAATAAAAAACAAGTGTTTAAATGTAGGCTTTTTTTCATGCAAATAATGAAATAACTAAACAAGTGGTAATCAAACACCTATAGTATACCATACTAATTTTCTTGTTTTGGAAAGGTCTATCCAAATATCCAATTAAATATAGAGTGTTCCATTGAAAAAAGACATGTCTGTTATGTCAAGAACCTGTGCAACACCTTGTACATTTCCAAATAATTTAACAATACACACCTATGAGAAAGCAATGTTACTGCGAAAACCGTTTTCGAATTTCCTTCATAGTTTTTTTTATAAAACTACATTTTATGTTCGTTGGGAGACCCCTGTACATACTTTGAAATTTCAACCACAACCAGTATACAAGCCAGGTCCAGAAAATGAAGGATAATTTTGCAACTGCAAATAGGCAAAACTTTGTTTTCTCATGGTTTTCGATCTTTTCAGCTTTTAAATTTGTTAAAAAGCTGACCTACTGTCAGTTAGTTTTGTGTCATTGGGTGTTTAGACCAGGTTTGTTTTAAAACAAAATTGAGTACTTCATCCCTAACAGCATCATTTTTCGCTCATGATAAGGAAAATCCAATGGAAGTTATTTTAAAGTCTCCACTTTAAATCAAAATTTTCATATCATATTCTAGTATGGAAGAATCAAGTACTGCGCCATATATTACTTTTTTTTTACCTATAAGCTTATGTGTTACCATGTGAGTCAAAAGTCATGTGGTATGCATAAATGAACTGTCAAAGGTATGCCATTTATAAACTTACGAAAACGGTCTAAATATAAAAAATACTTTTCGCAAACTTCGTACTAGTTTTGGCCGACATGGACGCCCTACAGAGCCTGGAATTCGTTGGATTGTTAATCGTTTTGAGGAAATTGGTTCAGCTGAAGGTCGTAGACCATACCAACATGCTCGTCCAGCTCGTACTCGTGAAAACATAGCCGCAGTGAGTGAAAGTGTGCGAGAAGATCCAACCACCTCGACTAGGCGCTGTTCGCAACAATTGGGAATTAGTGAGAACCCTTTACGCCGGATTTTACACATTGATTTACACCTCTATCCATACAAAATCCAACTAACACAAGAATTGAAGCAGACCATCAACAGCGGCGTGTTTTTGTTAATTGGATGCTGGAAAGAGAAAACGGGTTTTCGGCCAAAGTGCTCTTTTCTGATGACGCTCATTTTCACCTCAATGGGTACGTAAATATGCAAAATTGCAGATTCTGGGGGGCTGAAAATCCACACCAATATCATGAACAACCTCTCCATCCTGAAAAAGTGACTGTTGGGTGCGGATTATGGGCTGGTGGCATCGTTGGACCATTCTTCTTTGAAGATGCCGAATAAAAGGCCATTACCGTCAACGAGGAACGTTATCGCGGCATGTTAACAGACTTTTTCTGCCCACAATTGGATCGTATTGGTGCCGACGATCTCTGGTTTCATCAAGACGGAGCAACGGCTCACACATCTCCCAAACAATCGCTTTATTGCACACGAAATTTCAAGATCGCATAATTTCACGAAATTCAGATGTCAGTGGGCCCCCGAGGTCGTACGATTTAACACTTCTTGACTATTTTCTTTGGGGATTTTTGAAAGGAAAAGTGTATGCGACTGGTCCCCGGACATATCAAGACCTAAAGCACAATATTCGGACTGAAATTGCGGCCATAGACCCGATTATTCTAGGAAAAGTCATTGAAAATTCGGATGTTGGGATGTTGGCCTGTGAACGAAGCCGCGGTGGTCATATGACTGACGTTATTTTTCATACATAAATGGCATAAACCAACCTTCATATATCAATAAAAAAATTCGATTTCACCTCGTAAAAAGCGTGTTGATTTTTCAAATAGAAAAAATAAGTAATAGATGACGCACCCTGTATGTTCACCATGTCAATTAGTCCAAAAATTTAGTTGGTTAATTATAGTTCTTAAATTGTGTTATTTGTTTGTTATTATTGTTTCAATTGCAGCTGTAACAGAGGATGGCCGGATTTCTCAAATATGAAAAAGTGTTTTATTGGCATTAATACAAATACGAGGAGGGTTGATGTTAATAATTGTCTTACGGTAAAGCAATAAGATTATGGGTTCGAAGTTGACACAATTTACTATTATACATGACTCACGCGTTTTATTAAGGCAAACGCATATGCTGCACTCATAAACATTTAACATTCATGAAGGTCCTGTTCTATCGTCACCAAGATCGCTGGACTTGATTCCACTATTTTTTTGTCACCCTGAAGAGACTGTGTATAGTAAGCTGAGCTGACAACGGTAACGAAAATTGTGTTACAAAATTGAACGAGTCTCGATCATGCTAGTGGTTGTTCTAGCAGATTAAGGACATATACTAAGTGACATATAAATCCGAACACCCAGTTTAAATGGTTTTATTTTAATAAAACTTGGTGAATGTATTTATCTTACTGTAAATAACAAGTGAAAAAATGTTCAGCCTTATCAGTTGGACATTCCGGTTTTTATACTGCTTTTTTTTAATTCACTAACGCTCTAAAAATGAATATTTCAGCCGCAGTAAAGAATCAACGTTGGCGAATTTTGGTTCTTGACATCCTTTACGATCGGTTACGATGCCTAGAGTACGGAGACCTGTACGATTTCGTCAACTTAGTGAGTTTGATAGGGGCCGTATAGTGGGACTTCGGGAAGCTGGACTTTCTTTTCGGGCAATTGCAGTTAGAGTGCAAAGAAGTGTAGACACTGTGGTTAGGTGTTGTCAGGCATGGCTTCGAGAAGGCCGTACGCAAAGAGCAAGGGGCACTGGACGCCGCCGTAGAACAACAGACCGTGAAGATCGCCGCCTAAGATTATTGGCCTTAAGGGACCATTTCTCCACTACCAGGTCCATTGCAAATGAATGGTTTGCAGAACACGGAAGACCTATTGGCATGCGAAGTGTTTACCGACGAATGAGAAGTTTTGGCTTGTTTTCATACCGGCCACACTGGGTCCTCCCTTTAACTCGAGAACACCGACGTAATCGCCTTGAGTGGTGCAGACAACGGTCACTCTGGGATCAGGAATGGAACAGTATTGTCTTTAGTGACGAGTCTCGATTTTGTTTAGGCATGCACGATGGTCGTGCAAGGGTTGGAAGGCGACGTGGTGAAAGGAGGAATCCACAGTTTTTTGTTGAAAGACATGTTCATCACACTGTTGGAGTTATGGTTTGGGGTGCTATAGCTTATGGTTCCAGGTCACCTTTAATCTTCATCAGAGGTAACATGAACGTGCAGCGTTATATCCACGAAGTTCTAGAACCCCATCTTTTACCCTATCTTGACACCCTGGCAGATCCAACTTTCCAACAAGATAATGCCCGACCACATGTTGCAAGAGTCACAATAGACTTCTTTCAACATAATGATAACATTGTTACCATGGCCACCAAGATCTCCCGACTTATCCCCAATTGAGCACGTGTGGGATATGATGGGTAGGAGATTGATCAATTTGCAACGTCCTCCTCAGACTCTAGAAGCACTTCGAGAGGAGTTGGTGGTTGCCTGGAATGAAATACCACAGGATGACATTGACCACCTGATCAGAAGGATGCCTAGGCGCGTTGGAGAATGCGTAGCACATCAGGGTGCATCCACACAATTATTAAAGGTCAAAGGACAAAAGCAGTGCAATCATTTTGAAATTTTTATCATTTACTTATTATGCTTCATTAAGTACTTATACAAAATTTTATTAAAATAAAACCATTTAAACTGGGTGTTCGGATTTATATGTCACTTAGTATATTTTATGAAAAAGTTTAAGAGATAACAGTAAATCATGGTAATTTTCTTTAACGTCAATCATGTCCTTTTCTGTCTTCACGTCAGAAAATGCCGTTTTTTGATAATTGCGAACACTGAATCCTATCCATTACAACTGCAATCAAAAGGAAATAACAGTAGATAAATAACAACTGTCCTATTTCGAAATCACCAATAACCAATCAAGTTTTTAGAATAATTTGCTTGCGATGTTCTTTGATTCTCTCACGATTACAAAATGAGACTTGAGGTTTTCATTAAAATTTAGACTATAAAATAATTTTTATGTAGCTTCTAGACAAGTCAAGGCAAAAGTAGTGTTATTAAGAATGAAATTTGAATGTTTTAAAATAAACGTGCCCCGAGAAAGTTAATATTTATAAAAATGAGAATAATGCAGACCATTAAAATCTCTAAAACTATGAAACCTTCACTCAAGCAAAATTTTGCCATATAGAAAGTAGGTCATGGTGACCGCACGCAGCGGCTGGATTATTCTCCCTGTTCTGGACACTCTGAATACTATCAGAAAACATCACACTTTGAAGTCAAATGCTGTAGATCAATATGTATGTCTTTTTTCCAGAAACAGAACAGAGATTGCCGAAATGGAAACAGTACTGTGATGGTAAAGAAACCCTGGAGATGGAGCAGAACACCAAGCTGATCATAGATCTAACACTGATGACTTATGATTATAAAACAAATAAGGTGCTTACATAGATGTACATGGACATTTTTTCAATCATTCTGAGAA